TCCTTTTTATTCGCAGGTCTCCCGGAACTTTGTGAAGGCAGTAACACTGCGTGATGTGCACTGGCATCCCTGGGATACACGTGTGGTGACCTCGGGCCTCAACGGCTCTCTTACGTGTTGGGGCTATCGCAAGAATCAGGCCAAGCGAAAACCGCTACTGTTTACGCGTCGCACTAGTACCAACGTCACGCCACCCATTGCAGCGGACCCTGCCGGTGGCCAACGTGTCGACACTGAGGACGGTGACGTCGATGCGCCGGATGACGACGACGCGGAGTCCATGGATGAGCAGTCAAGATACTATCAGTCGGAGTCGGGTAGACTGAATTATCGCGTTTGCTTGAACAGAGCAGGTTTCTCTTATCGAGTAAGTATGTGTATGTCTTGTTTACTTTTTACGGTGATGTCCAGTCTGGGGAAACAGTGTCCAGGTAGCACTAGGTCTTGTTACAGTGGCTAGTCTGACCATTTATCATGCCTTATTTTTCCTGCCCTTTAAAAAATGCACATTTGCATGCCCACCCGTGGCGTCCGTCCCATATCTTATCTCTTTACGAATCGAGTCACAGAGCTTTCGGCTTGATGAATTCTCTAAGATACCTAAAAAGGCTTATATATGTGTCGGAATATCGTTTGGACGGACTGCATTACATAAACAAAAAGTAATTAATTTATTTGGGTGAAATTCTTGGCCGGAAATAATCGAAGACAGCACTTACAAGAGTATTAAGGCAAGACTGGAAATCCCGTCACTAACCTATTTCTCATCTTCCGACTACACCCACACCAGCAGAATTAATTCCATATACCTCACTACCGTTTGAAAGTAATTAGCAATATTGTATACGAGTTCATGGGATGGATTTTGATTAAATTGAAACATTGCTTTCCCGGAATAATGCCACGGTCATCCTGTTTCCCGAATGGATATACCGTGCAGTTATAAGCTTCTCCAAACACAGAGACAGGCTTCTAAATCGTAGATTGGTTGTTTTCTAGAAGTAATGATGCTTATGAGTACTGAATATTCGGCTGATGCATAAAATCATATCGAAGACTTAACTCATTTGAAGACGTCCATCATAGTTTCACAAAATTACTTAGGCTGTTAGAGCATACTTTGCGTCGAGTATTGAGAAAACAGTTGGTAATGGCTACAGGAAATAGTCGGTTACAGTTATGGGAGAAAACGATGGCCAACTAGCAATCGGAGATAATTCTTAAATAATCGATATGGATCAAAGTCACTTTCAGCGATATGACCGTCAAAGTCGAGAATTAATGGAAACTGAGGTTCTACGAATAAAAATAGTATAACTACAGCAAAAGGAATACGCGCATAGCTTATCTTTTGTTAAACGATGAAATTCATGACATAATAATGGGACATTATAGACGAGGGACCTAAGATAAGGCAACTTTCGTTGACTTCCACCCAACGCTCGCATCAACGAATATGCCGTCAATTTAATCAAAATGTGAACAAGGCCAAGATCATGAGTTGAGCAGAATTTATTGGTCATATAATTACGCGACCTCTAATTCATCTACAAACGGTCTTTGCCTGTTAATATAGTAAATTAACTGTCTAATTAGAAGGTTGAAGCTTAATAGGTAAATAGGATGGGAAACATAAGTTAAAAATATGGGCGCATGGTAAAGGGTAGAAGAGGGGGCAGGCAATTATCACAGCAAGGCAGTTCAGGTTACAATGAAAGCCTGTGAAGTGTAATTAAAGGGTAGGGGAAATTACGGGGCAGCAGTCGGTCATAGCGGGGGGGGCGAGGGAAAGGCGTGAGAGGGACTGGGGTGAACGATCGTTTCCGCGGCAGTGCGAGGTTGATCACATGATCCAGTTGCTTACAGAGTTCTGGTTTTTCTGTGCGTATTGCAGCAGCCTC